TTTAGATAACAAAACCTGATGTGCTAACTCATTTTACCTCTAACATGAGGCATGCATATATATGGTTATCACTTTTTATTAATTAATTAAATTTTAGTAAAGATAACTGTAAATAGGGTAATTTTCTGGATGTTTGTGAAAAATTTAGTGTTCGCTGACTTGGAAAAAAAAGGTATGTTATTTTTGAAGGACAAGACATTTCACATAAAAGGGTCATGAATATAAAAGAGAAGCCTAAGACTTGAGTGTCATGGTGAATTCCACGAAAACAAAGTACTCTTTGAGAATTTGTTACTTGATATGCAGAAATAGGTACATTCAGATGGAACAGCCCATTTGGTATCTGCTTTTAGGCAAAGGGGGTTATGTTTTTTGTGGAAATGTTCTTGAAAGTTTGCAAATAGGGGGTCATTTGTTACCCCTTAGAACACAAATTGACAGTTTGGCACCACCTTCAGATGAAACCCGCATGCACTGATAGAACTCAACAAAATCAAATCAAATCCAATCCAGGAATTTATAAAGCGCCAATATCTAGTTGCCTAATCAAAGGCGCTGAACGGGTTAACAACACCTATACGTACTGAAGGTACTCTCAGTCTCACTCACGGTGTGTCTATCGTGTTGTGTGAGAGCACAGCTAGACAGCCTCTCACCATCAGGACAAGGCCTGGCTTCAATGAGAAGCCAGGACAATAGCCTGTGACGCACATAGCAGACAAAGCTAGCAAGTAGGCTTGCACCAAGCACAATACAAACCAACAATAGACACTTCAATCTCACCGAGATGAGCAATTACCAATCAAAAAAGGGGGTCCGCCATCAGTCTAGATCCCCCAGCCGCAAGTGGTCTGGCTCTGGCTCCCGTTAGATAATCCTCCAGAACACTTGACGACTTTGTGAAGACTTGGAAACAATTCCCAGAGAATAGGGTTACTTCATTTAGCGTTGAATTAAAACACTATAGGAAAGGAATGCAAATTACCCCCTACATGTATCTGTAAAACGAACAGAAAACTACAATTCATCTGTGTCTGCAATCAAGACTACTTCTGTCAGAATTCAGAAACATACAGTACCAATTGTAGTTAAATAAATCGCCTGTTGATCAATCTATAACACTAATCTACATACTACATATCAGACAATGCAATGCTTTAGATTTCATCACTTAGCATTTGTATGCTTCGAATCAGTCATGGGCAGTCATGTGAAAATGGTATACTGTAAGTGTCAGACGACTTTTCAATTTCTTGTGAGATAGAAAAGAAAGAAAAGAAGGGAAAAGAAGGTGTGTAACAGAAATGTTGAATCTGTGTCATACATAACACACAAAAAGTTCTCTCTGCTTTTCTCTCAATAGAAAGCATGCTCCCGTTACAGATATTTTGTTGTACAACAGTACACAAATACAGTTCTCCTTGTTTCATAAATTGGCAACTAGGGAATCGCGACCATATCCAAGCAGAACTAAACTTATCAACTACAAAAAGGCACAATTGTGTACAGTGTACACTGGCCTTGATGCAGCGTGGCATGCATTCATGATTCAGTGGCGCTGGAACTTCAATACAATTTTAAAGAGTCCCTAGATACCTCCACTAAAAGGCAATTATTGAATTAACCACAATTGCCCTAGTTGTGCCTAGGACAGACAGCCAGCACAGAAACAAGTGGGTGGGACAAGGACTACCTCCCTTGTGAACATGTAGACGAATTCAATACTAATGGGGAAGCTCCTCTTTTTTTTTTAATCAGATGGCAGTGCAGTGCAGCATCATATTGCATTTAGAGCACTTTTAATTACATTCAAAATTGCGGTTTCAATGGGCAAATTGCAATATGTGTTTGACATTTTTTGCCACATTGTGCAGTTAGACGCTAAATCTTCTTTGCGGCCTTACTGCATGGGGCATGTCTACATAAATGTATGTTTAGGAACTACATGTACAACTTCGATTGACAGATTTCATTTTTTAAGTGGCTCTTTTCTAATTGAAAATACTTAAAGGCCCCATGCCCTCATTTATCTTTTTCTTGTTGGGTTCTACTATAGTATCATAACAATTGCTGACAATATTCATGAGGTCAAATGGAGCATTTTGGATGTCCACTCATGCCTGAAAACCTAATAATATATTCAAGAATCATTTTCTGGACTGAAATCTAAACTACAGTGCAACCCCCCCCCCCCCCCCCCCCCCTCTCTCTCTCATCAAAGAATAGTGTCCTATTATCTATCAGCCTGACTGACATCACAAAAAGCAGCTCTTTAAAATAAAGCCTGGTCATTGTTTTTTTAATTTTCTTTGGACATTTGGTCACATGATCTGTACTCTCTGTCTCTCTCTCTATCTGTATGGTTTGTGCATTGCACTTGCAGACAGACCAGAGTAAAATATTTTCTGTTACATGTAACAAGAAATATATAGTGCTCTTTTTGCACTTTATATCAAAAACAACAACATGGACTTCCACAGCATTTCCTTTTCTCATATTTCTAGAGTTTTTTTTACACTCCTTTTCTTTGAATTTCCTCGCAGCTCTCTGTTCTCATGTAATCTTTTCACTGTACAGGCCTACAGCGGATTTTAATCCACACGCAACCAGTCTGTGTACACATTATTCATTCTACTGTATATTCTGACAGAAGGGATGAGACTATTTCCTTTTACCGAACAACAACAAAACTAGAAAAACTACCCTAGATGGATGGGTACCCTGCATGCCTAATGATCTTCATTGCCCAGGTTTGGTGTAAATTTCTGCAAGGCACTTGGCTAATCAATGATTAATCAATATTATACTAGTCGTTAAATTGACTCGTTTAACATGGCTCATCGTCGCTGTACAGTACTCACAAGCAGTACGTGTATGTAATGATTCTATGACACTGCAGCCCAAATATATGAATGTGATTTGAACTGTAACAATTGTCTGTCTGTCCAAACACATTTTTAATTTACTCCTTTTTTTCTTATTATTCTGGGACCACAGTGGCTCTCTACCGCGATAAAATTTGTAAACATGTACCAAGTCTCCACTAAAATGTTTTTATCAAAATCAAATTAAATTACAGTACAAACAATGAAATGTTTCATAGTGTCTACAAGTATCATAGTTTGAAAGCATTTTGGAGTCATGCATTGCTGCTTGAGACGTAACAGGCATGGGAGTCATGGTCTTTGCACAAATTGAATACCCTTTAGACAATTAAAGAGATTATTTGACAGTTTTTAGTCTATAATGAGCTACATGCACGATCAGCTAAAAAGAAAACAAAATGCAACATCCATGAACATTGAAAGACAGATGACGTTTTTTCCCTATGAAAGCAAATTATTCAAACATTTTTATGGTCTATGAGTCAAAATGTATGTGTAAATCCTCATCTAAACTGACCCACATTCAATTTGGCAACAATCCCAGAAGCATTAGCCCAGCTGCTAAAAATGACATATCCTGGCCTAGATTCAATGTTTACCTTTCTTAGACTTCCATTCTTATCACTTCTCGATCATAACAAAAGTTTGTCTTATGTCACCAAGCTTGGAGTCAGACTTAGACCCATGTTACACCAACTTGAAGTCCTACAATGTATCTTGGAGCGCCCTGATGCTAGATTTTGGGTTTTTCTTTTATTTAGGAGTTGGCTTTAATATGTGAATAGGATATCACAATAGTCAGGGAGCAAATTAAATAAATTATGTCTTATCCTGTCAGGTAACCGCAATGATTGTTTGACCTAGCAACAAGTAAGGGATTTGCATTTTGACTTTTGTCTGTTGTACTGTGTAACAGGTGCTTGTAAGATTATACACATCATATCGTTCCTGTTTTCACGAAGTGACGGTAGTGAGGAAAATCTGCACGCAAATTGTATGGGATTATCATTCACTACCGTCACTTCGTGAAAATAGGGACGATAATGTGTACATGACATGTACATGTATATTTAATGCATTACAAACATACATGTAGGTGTAGAAACATGTACATGTCACATGCATTTACAAGAGCATGTGTGAAATCCCCTATACATGCATCTACATGTAGGAGTATATGCATGACGAGGGATATATAAATCTTGGCATTACCAATATCAAAAGCACGAGCTAGATAGTAAAACTCCCTGGTATATAAACTGATACCTAATAAGCCCTATACATTTTTCATGTAGATCTGCTGTGCATGTGTACAGCACAATTAACATTTGTATTCCTGAGTGAGGCTCATATAATACAGAACATTACTAGGGGATCATGAATAGGGTCACGTTTTTAATCGTTTATCCTAAATCCCTATAGAATATGATGAATACAACATCCAAGTAAAGGTACAATGCACTGCTGAGCATGGCAACATAATGCTATATATCCATAAGCTTGCGACATTACACGTTTGCAGATGCAAGCTTATTCTTGCATGTCGTTAAAATCGCAACCCTCTTTCAACTAACGAAAATACAAACCTTTGCGAAAAAACAATGTCTTATAGTTATACTGAATTTGGTCGTGCAGCTCAATCCATCTACACTTTAGTTTGCCCAGAATTTTAAAGTGTTCCGGTACTACAGGTAAATAAACACATGCAATTTTCATAATTTATGATTACTATCATATTACATATAACCTACATGTACATGTATGTTAACATGACTGTATACCGGTATGTTTATATAATTTAATGCCACAATCCCACATGGACAAATGTAAATGTGTTCACTTGAGACGAGTACTGTAGATACCGATATGTAAATGTGGAAAATAACATTTGATTATATTCAGTGATTCAGTTTACATGGTTCAGCATTCAGTGCAGTAAATAATAAATAAATATACCTGCTCTCCCCAACATACACTGTACTCAGATATTCAACACGTAACATTATTTATAATGCTTTACCATCTCATATACCAAGAAACATACATGTACAATTGTACATACATCATTCATACATGTACATGTATAATTAATTGGTATGTGAAAGTGTAACTCACCAATTTCCCATAATGCACAGCTTCTGATGGCACTATCTACAGAGCGTGGTAGTGAATGTTTTCTCCGACTTTCACCGCAATAAAATTGTCATCCCCTTTTAAACATCTCCAAGAGCCTAAAATCATGTATCCAGGCAATTCCCCAACCTCATCATCCAATAATATAACGGTCCAAGCGACGAAAAATGATATATCCACAAGAAAATACCACAATTTCAGCTCCGGGGACGGATTCGAACGCCACACCAGGTTTCCAGCTTGTCAGACGAACCGGAGCAATCTCATTTTTCCATCGGTATCGTCTCCAACTTTGTTGATCCAGAAAACAAGCTTTGGAAATCTACCCCTTGACTGTGTGTTTCAACAGTCTATGAACAGGGCATATAACGAACGCCTGGCATTGGCCATCGCCTAGTTCTATTACTTTAGTCTACAACATGGGAGCATGCATGCAACACAGTATAATGTACAGTACGATACCGACTGGCTGCCAGTATGTAGTTTTTACCGAAGAAGCGAATCTATGCGGCTATTGCTCAGCTCAGATAGTTCGCAGGCATACAACACACGGTTGTATGGCCTCCCTATTTCATTGCAGTGCCTTCACGAGAACAACTGGAGAGAGGGCATTCAGAGTGTGCACATACACACAATCTATACACACTCTCACACACACAATACAATGCATTGACTAGCATGGCTATCTCACTGTCAGGATATGCACCTGCAAATGCTAAGTACTAATGCATTCCCAGTCTATGTGTAGTCTTTTAAATTCAGACCTCTCTTCGCCCGTGGGTGCATGTTTAGCACATAAAATCCACTGCACAGAATAGTCTACACTTTGAAAGACTTTTTATCAGGGTCCTCATGGGTCCTCATACGAAATTTGACACTATTTTGGTCTTATGTAATGCATGCACCCTCCACCAACTCAGAAAAACTGCCCTGTAAGAAAAAAAAAAAATCATCATCATAAATTCCCATCCAAATAGTGACGTAACACAGGTGGGACAAGAGTTTCGCTACGTGCAAGATTTGTACACATACAGAAACTGCTGAGAATATATCCTCTTGAAGTTGCAAACTTATTAATTTTCTTCTTTCTTCATTCTTAATTGTTTCTCTACCTCGCAAGCATAAACCATACTTTCTGTGGCCAAAATACATCTATTAAAGCACTAAGTAAATTTCATATGAAACATTAAAAATGACACTAAATCAGCTATTTTCATGAGTTTAGCCACCTCAACAACTCTGTCACATTTAGCAGGCAAAGATGGGCAAGCAATAATTTTGGAGTTGAAGTTGAACTTTAAAAATCACAAATAACAGCAAAACAAATAACATAAGATGCTCATGGGGAGGAGAGTATACCAATATTTGATTTTAAAGAATTCTTTTTTTTTTTTAGTTTGATGCATACCAAAGGTATGACAGATTGGGGTTTATGGGCAGGGGAGCAGCGAGGGAGTGGGGGAGGGGGGGTCGTCCCCCCCCCCCCCTCCCACAGTGTGGAGCTTTTTTTTATTTTTCAAGGTGAAATTGTGTGATCTGGTGCATACTTTATAGAGTATTTTAACATTATAGCTAAAGGCAATATGGAGAGAGAAAATCATACAGGCTTAAACAGAGAGATAAAGAAAATTATTAACATGGAATACCTGATTGTTCGCCCATGAACGTGGGCCGCTGGGCTAGGCGTAGAGCAAGGTGCTGATCTTATGAGGGCCCTATGTGCTCACTCTCTGACTCTGAGACAAAGCCACAGAAGCAAGTTTACATTCAACTTTAAGTTTTTACACAATCACAAGTCATTTTTCACTCTCAAAACTCACTTTATATTTTTATAATCCCTCTCATTCTATTCTATTGTATGAAGTAATATTAGGCCCTCTTTAAAAACAAAGCACAGAACCATGAAATCTTTGCTGTTCTCGAACTGTTACTGATGACGTACTCGAGCTCGCTGCTGGTTCGTCCAATCCATATTCAGGGCCGGGGCAGGCTCGGGCCGAGCCGGCTAGCTGCATATGAATATGGGTACGGTGCGAGAATATGTACATCATCAGGCTAGCTATCTATATAGACGACCATTTTACACACGCACACGTGCGAGAAGTGAGATTGAGGTTTTCGTCTTTTCGATAAAAGGGGATAAAAGGCGGGAAAACTTTCTAAATTCTTGATTTTGGTGGCATAAATCATTCAAATTTATATATGTTTTTATTATAATTTACTTATTTAAGATTTGAGCGTGAGGAATTTCATTGTTAGCGTGAGAATTTTTTTTTTTTTTTTTTTTTTTTTTTTTTTTTTTTTTTTTTTTTTTTAATTTACCCAGGGTAACCCCATCAGTGAGTAAAACACTGTTATACTCGGGGGCCCTGCAATTGAGTGAAATGCGTGAGTCTCACGCTCAATGCGTGAGTGTTGGCAGCCCTGCACTAATGTCCTTTGGCAAGACATTGATCTACATTTGCCACACTCAACCCAGGTGAGGGAAATGGGTACCTGGTACAATTATTCCTTGAAATGCACTGTGCACTGATAACGGCTGCCGAAGCTAATGCTAGGGTAATAATTTCCAAAGCTCTTTGGAAGCACATAGAGATGTTATTTCATAATGTATTGTGCACTATACATGAACTGAATATTATTATCATTATTAAAGGTAATACAAAGTTTTAGTAAATTTTGAAAATAGGGTGGATAGTGAATCTTTACAATTTTAATATATTTGGATGCCCCTGTGGATGAATTATAAGCACTAAAAAAATTAGCCCCTACAACACTTCTGTTTTTGAGAAAAAGTTAATATAAAAATTTACCGGTGCTCCCGGTAAATTTTGATAAATTTCAAATAGCCCTTATGGCCGTACAATGGTAGCTGCGACCATGAAAATCTCAGAATATGTAGTTGTGATATATAATTTCCAAACGGGAATAGCTAATCGGTCCATTTTAGTCAAGAAACATTGTTTCATAGCTAAATTAATATCTTGACCTTGAGAGGGAGCTATACAACATAAAGAGTTTATTATTTATAATTTCATAACTTTAGACTCGATTTCAACCGCGACAACAATTAATATTGTAGGATCGCATATGCGTCCGATATGTTAATTTGAACCAAATTCATGACCCCATACCAAAATTTTGTAATACCTTTAAGATGCTGAAAACTTGTCTACAAGGGTCTGAAAAATTAGCCTATACTTCCTAACTGGTTTGCTGCTGAAGCCATATACATTCACAGAGCTCCCATTCAGCAGAACAGAGCTGCCATGCATAAACACACACTACGCGCGCACACACAGAGAGGGTCAATTCAATTAACTACAAAGCACTGCCTGGCTACCATACACACAAACACACATTCACACATAGTGCAGACGAGGATACTCACACACAGAGAGCAAGGTTTTTTATTTTGTAAGGTGTAGGCTAGTGCAAAAAGAATTACAGCCTACAGAGGGCAGCAAACATATTTTCTATTTATTCTGAATTGACTATCAATCTCTCTAGTAGTTCCATACATTTAGAATTATGTATTTCTTCTGCTTTTGTGCTGTATAATTCCTTAATAAACTGCACAGAAGAGAGAGTGCCCCTTTTCTATACATGCACTGCCCCCTATAAAAACGCATCCTGAAAATATGTCTGTGCTACTATATTAATTGAAAACAAGAGCATAAAACTGGAAGTGGATGGCATAAGTGGTAAAGAAGACCGATGATTTCATGGGAAGATAAGGTGAAGAAAGAAAGCAGTTCAAGCATCCTCTAAATGACAGGCGCGGATCCACGAGCCCAATTCTTTCGGCCCGGCTATGGCAAGCCCTTTGTGTAAAAACTAGATAAATCCTGTTTTTCTCAGATAAACTCTGTTTTTCTCAGATAAACTCAGTTTATCAACAGATAAACACAGTTTATCAGAAAAACTCAGTTTATCAGTTGATAAACTCAGTTTATCAAGAAAAACTCAGTTTATCAATGATAAACTCAGTTTATCAGTTGGTAAACTGAGTTTATCATTGATAAACACAGTTTTTCTGATAATTCAAATTCAAAGTTTATTCAACACTCTTCATAAAAACATTTAAAACATACACATACAGAATGGAGTTATAAATATTAAAAAACACAAAAAGGTGATAACAAATACAATGGCAATTTATAAGAGCATTTGGGATAGGCAGAAAGGAGGGAAGTTCCTTATATAAAAGCCTACCCCTAAAAACACACATACATGAAAACGAGAACAATAGAACAGAACAATAAAACAAAGAACATATTAAAACTTACTATCATGCACGATCAGAGTATATAAGAAAAATGTCAAAAATTTGTCTATACTATTGATACTAATTATTATACTTGTTTAACAGAAATTGTTTATATTTAATTTTAAAAAGATTGAGAGTTTTGCATTTTTTTATTTCCTGAGGTATACTATTCCATATTAATGGTCCTTTAAAAAATAGTGAATTTTTCATACAAGTCGTTCTAATCTTGGGGAGGTGATAATTTAGGGCATTCCTAGTATTAAAATTATGCACATCACAATTCAAGTTAAAACATGTTGATAAAAAGGTAGGCAAGTTGCCATTAAAACATGAAAACATGAAAACTGCAATATAAAAATTATGCATATCGATTACATTCAGAATTCCAAGTTTACAAAATAAAGGATTACAGTGAGCATAATATTGGGAATGGGTTATAATGCGTATTGCTTTCTTTTGAAGAATAAGTAACCTTAACATATCATTTTTATTAAAATTTGCCCATGCAACTATACAGTAATTAAAATATGGTGTTATTAATGTATGATACAACATTTTCAAAATATTTGAGGGATAAAAATGAACTTTATATAAAATACCAATATTTTTTGCTATTTTATTGCACACCACATTTATATGCTCATGCCACTTCAATTTATGATTAATTACAATACCTAAAAACTTAAGATTATCTACACGTTCAAAATTATGATCATTTACTCGTAAGTGCATGTTGTTAAAATCAATATTTCTATTTGTAAAAACCATAAACTTAGTTTTATCATAATTTAAAACCAATTTATTATATAAAAACCAATTAGAAAGTTTCAAAATTTCTTGCTTAAAAACATTTTGTAAAACCTGGACATCAGAATGAGACATAAAAACACTTGTGTCATCAGCAAATAAAATTAATTTTAGTTTATCAGAAATATTGCACATGTCATTAACATATATAATAAATAAAAGAGGTCCAAGGATGGATCCTTGAGGCACTCCACATCTAAGTTTTTCAATATTAGACTTATCTTTATTTATTTGTACAAATTGGGTTCTATTTTCTAAATAACTTTCAAACCATTTTAAAGTTACTCCACGAATACCATAATAATATAATTTTTTCAATAAAATAGTGTGGTCTAATGTATCAAATGCTTTACTTAAATCTAAAAAAAGGCCCATTAAGATATGATTATTTTCAAAAGTTTTCAAAACATTATAAATAAAATGCATAATTGCATTAGATGTAGAGTGACCAGGTCTAAAACCATATTGACATTCAGAGATAATATTACACTTATTTAAAAACATAAAAAGTCGATTATAAACAGCTCTTTCTAAAATCTTGGAGAAA